GTTAGCACTGCCTTAAGGAATCAAAGGAGCACCATATCCATGTTTTGGGATGATGCAGACCAAATGCAACTAGGGGAGCATTAAGAAGTAATGATGAGATGGCTAGGGGTGAGGAGGAGCATTTGGAAGCAGGAGGTCAGAGGTGTTAACCAGGAAAATGTAATTGCTTACAGGAATTCTTGGAAATTTGGGATAGGAAACAGAATGTCTTGCAGTCAACATCACATCAGTATTTAAATAGTAAAAGAAAGGGGACCCTGAAAAAATGGAGGACTTGTAGACTTTGGGGTCACCCTGGGTCACAATATTCAGGCTTGAATCTCAGTGGTTATCTAGTTTCCAAATATTATTTAACCATAGAAGGCTTTTTATCAAATAAATTATAATATGGAACCCAGTGTGTAATACAGACAAAAATTGAGCTACCATGATGAAATGAGATAGGGGTTTGAATTTATGCCCACTTGGCCTTCCTGTTGGATCTCACATTGAACGTCAGGCACCTCCATGGAATCCCAGTACTCCAGAAACACAATTTAAATACCATCAATCTAGAACCCAAAGCAGGAATCCACTCTTTGATATTCCAGACAGTTGATCGTTCTGCCTGAGTGCTCATAACCCACTAAGCAACACGCCCCTTAGCCAGCTGTCACTGATGGGTGGTGTTCTTCCTTCTCTCCAACTGAATTCCTCCACTTCTACCCATTGGTGGGACTTCTACCCATCGGTGGGACTTCTACCCACTGCTCTTAGCAGAAAAATCAAAATAAGGGTAATTCCTTCCATGTAACAGCTCTTCAAATCTTCGAAGACCTCCTATATCCTTCCCTAAGATGTTTTTGTTCCAAGCCAAATAGTCCTCATTCTCTTAACTATTCTCAAACTATTATAAAGTTCATATATTACTTGGGGATCTGAAATTACTGATATTAATAGTAAAAACAAGTTCAGCATAGAAAGAGAGTTCTCTTACACCAAAACAGGGGTACATGAAAGAGAGGCACACTTTGAGGGTAGTAAAGGAAAGTGAGACGCACTGATCTCCTGCTCTAAAAACAGCTCAGGATATATGTTCCCTCATGAGCACTGTGAGGGGGTGGAAATCAGCTCCAACTTCACTCAGCTCAGGGATGTGCCTGGACTCACACCCTAGCCCTAGAAGTCACCAAATCAGGGACCTAAAGAGGATGGCTATTGGCAGCAGAGGCACTCAGCTCTTCCTAATAGTATTCTTGAAACACCCCTTAGCAGCTGGGCTCAGGAATTCAAGCCAAGAAGTGCTTAGCATGAGTTAATTTCACCTGATGTTAATTGGCAATTTGCATATACAGAGAGTTACTGACGTTTGGAAAATGACATGGAATCCTTTTTTTTTTTGAAAGAGGGTCTCATTCTGACACCCAGGCTGGAGTGCAGTGGCACGAACATGGCACTGCAGGTGAGTGCTACCATACCTGGCTAATTTTTTGTATTTTTAGTAGAGACAGGGTTCACCCCATTGCCCAGGCTGGTCTCAAACTCCTGGGCTCAAGCAATCAGCCTGCCTCAGCCTCCCAAAGTGCAAGTATTATAGGTGTGAGGCACTGTGTCTAGCCCATGGCATCTATTAATTGGCAATAAGTGACATTCTATATCATGGATCCATCAGTTATTTCACAGCAGGATGTTTCTGCCTGTTAGCACTGTTTAGTAATAATCATTGGCTTGATGTTGCACCTGGTTTTGGTGGAGCCTGCGGGAGTGAGGAAAGTGAGTTTCAAAGGTTATGCCTATCACATAGCTAGAAAGTATCTGTGACCAGCTCACCTTCTATGAGAGACCATCATCACCACAGACAAAAGTTGGGCTCCCTGGCATCAAGCTGCAACACACATACACTGCTGGCAGTTAGAGGCCTGGAGACAATGTGCACACTGTGCAACCCAGTAGTGGGAGGTCAGTGAGGCTTGTGCCTGAGATCTCAGGATCCCTTTCCAAGCCTGTCCTTCTGGGGGGAAGAGAAAGTGTGTGGCTGTACTGTTTCCTCTGCCTGTCATAAAGCTGTTCCACCAATGTAAACTGGCTGAGTCCTGTGTAAACTGTGGGTTCTTTCAGCAACTCAACACTTGGGATGATTAATGGGTAATGAGCACAGTGAGGATGAGAAGGATTAGTAAGTGTGTGTGATGAGGTACAATACTTTAATTCTGTTGGACTTTGAGGAAGTACCTCCAGAAAAACAACAAGAACAAGTTCTGGTTTGCTCCAATAGAAAAATATTTCTGACTTTAACAAAGAATACGTCCATCTAATGTTGCCAGGTGTGTATGCAAACAGAGAATGACCCCAGTGTTAATCCTCATTTTTCTCCCCACAAGCTATTTTGACCCCATATCTTCTAGAAGCAGAATTGTGTTTCATGTATGATAAAGTATTTTCTCCAAAAACAGAATGCTACAGACTCTTCTGAACTCTCAAACAACCATGTGAAAATAATGCTGGGCATACATGAATTAAGGTCACATTGCTATTGAAATAAAAATCAAAGTAACCCCATGTCTTCCAAGAGTTATGACAGCACCAACAACAAAACAGAAGCTTAGGAAGGAAGTCAGTTCCGGGGGGAAGAGAAAGTCTATATATGCATGCGTGTGTGTTCACACACACAATTCTCACACACCACATATATGTGGGGAAATGATCTATGTAAGGAATGAAGCAAAATATAATCATTCTAGTCTTACGTCAGAATTTGAGTTGTATCTAAATCCGCACTCTGCCACCTGCCAGCTGTGACTGAACAAGGTTAAGTTATTTAACTGCTCTGAGACTAGTTTCCTCAGCTATAAAATGGCAACAATTTTTATTCTGCAAGGTTTTGATGAGGACTAAAAGAGAGAATTCATGTGCTGTACCTGTTATTAAATTAATAAACATCATTGACAGATTTCCAGGGGAGCAATTTTGACCAAAATTTGCTGACTTCCTTCCCTCCCTCTGAGGCTCTGTGTTACATGAAGAGGAAGGACAAAAGGAAGGGAAATGAAAATCAGAGAAGGGCCAAGGAAGAAAAACATTGCTTGACAATTCTCTAACACAATGTGGAAATCGTATTGATTTAGTTCTACTTGTCTGTACTAGAATAATGCCCAAGGACCAACCAAGAAATCTCCCATCACTCGGCAGACAGAAGCTACTAACACATGGATCTCCTGACCCCAGAGCCCTACCTTTCACCGTCCCCTTGCCACAGAGTCGGAGACAGGAGGGTCACTCACTGGGGAGTGGAGGGCTGTACTTAGAGGATTTCTGGAGTCCTTTGTCATGTCATATAAACTACAAATGCTGTGCCATTCCACATGCTCATTTAACCTGGTGTTTATAATTATCCTGAGAAAAGGCATAACTATAGGATCTGAACTGCCCGAAGCAATTATCTATTTGGGGCTCAATCAAAATTCACACCTAGTTCTTCCCATCATGGTGGTTTTCTCCTTTATACCAGAACTGCTTCCAACCTGATGGCAGATGCTGCTGGCACTTGGTCCCCTTCACCCCCGGCTAGTGAGGGTGCACGCGCAGTTGTGTTAAACAGTTTTCGACATACCTTCTCAGGTGTCTGGATTTCTCATTAACTCTTGATGAGGGCTTTCTCAGGACCAGGAAATGCAGCTTGGAAAGGTGGGGGATGGGAATGACTGCAGTCCACCTTCAACAAGAGGGGTTGGACAGGAATTCAGTGCCAGCTTCTGGCACATTCTCTGTGGTTTCCAGAGGGTCCTCCAGCACGGGAGAGCCCAGCTGCCCACAATGGTAATAACCCACTCATAACACATGTCCTTTAGTGACTTCACCCACTTCCTCAAATGTTCTTCCTGGAATCACCTCCTAGGTAAACAACAGGCACTGAGTCTTGAACTTGTTCTACTTTTGGAGGAACCCAAACTGAGACAAATTCTAAGATTCATGTGGTTACACATTCACACCAAAAACAAACAAACAAACAAAAAACCAAACCAAAACAAAAAAACAGCCAGTAATAATGACCATGGGTGACTGAGCAGTCAGAACCTGAGGATAACATTTTCAAGGATTGAAAAAGTGAAGCTAACATTCTCCGCAAAGCAGCAAGTTACTTCTCCAGTTTTACCAAGACTCCATCTTGCCAGCAACTGCTGGAATTGCAATCAGGGCAGTGATGGCCTCCAAGGGCTCTAGTAAGGCAGTTACAGATCCAGTTTGGATTTTATAGCTATTAAACAAGAGATTTTAGAATATGCTCAGAAAGGAGGATATTTTTTCTCAATTCAAGAAAACATCTGGGCCGGGTACGGTGGCTCATGCCTGTAATCCCAGCACTTTGGGAGGCCGAGGCGGGCAGACCAACTGAGATCAGGAGTTCAAGACCATCCTGGCCAACATGGCAAAACCCCATCTCTACTAAAAAAGAAAATATAAAAGCCAGTTGTAGCGGCGCATGCCTGTAGTCCCAGCTACTCAGGAGGCTGAGGCACAAGAATCGGTTGAACCTGGGAGGCGGAGGTTGCAGTGAGGCAAAATCATGCCGCTGTACTCCAGCCTGGGTGACAGAGCGAGGCTCCATCTCAAAAGAAAAGAAAAAAGAAAGAAAACATCTGAATTCAAGTTGTAAAGTGTTTTTTAAAAACTACAAGTATGATCAACACATTTACATTATAGAAGACAAGCACAATCATCTCGACATACATTCTAGATTTATCCACTTTGCACACATATTTTAGAAAGATTTTCAGGGATTCAGTATAATATCTTAAAATGACCACTTAGTCTTAGTAAAAATAGATTCCCAGCTTCTGTTAATTGACTGTAACTATGGTCTGAGAGTGATTAGATTTCAAAGTGTTTGTGTGTGTAAAATTCTCACGGGAAAACCAATAGTAGTGGACCGTACTGAAGTGTGATGAGTTTTACTCTGCAGTTTGTCCTGCTCCAGAGATGCCAGACCAGTAAATTACATGGAGTAAGTTCACATAACACGATTGGTTTTATAGACTCTAACCATTTATTTAACAAATGGAAATTTCTAATACATAGCACTTTTCTACATTTAAAATTTTAGGGAGGAGAGACTCATGTTCTACAGTATACGTTATTACAAAAGAGTTCATTATACATTTAAATCAGCTAAAACACTTTCTCTAATGATTAGGATTATCATCCTTTAGTGCAGCGAGGTGACATTTTGTGGAAGGCGTCCATGTGTCTTCGTCAGAGGAGATGTCTTACCAGCACAACCTTCCTTCACTCTGACCCGTCCATTAGAGAACTTCCTTTACCAGTAAAACAGATGCAAGTCCACTTCTCTTTTATGGTTCCCAACTCAAGTGCAGACCTTTTAATTTAGGAAAGAACTCAAACTTATATAAACTAAGGAGTGGAGGTTGTTGTTTTCATTCTGTTTACTCACACACTGCTCTGTGAAGTCAAGGTTTTCTTGTGGATTTTGCTCACGTGCTGATTGCTACGCGTGCAGCCATCATTAGTGCAAATGTGTGGGAGGCTTTTTGAATAATGTATAGCACCCAGAGGAATGAACAGCAGGCCCCCCACCCCCAAATTTAAATCACTGCTCTTGTAAATCCTGAAAGCCAAGGATCACTTGTGCCTTACAGAATCCGGGGGCTCTATCCCCAGGTGCAAAGTACATTTTCCAGGTTTCTCCAGGGCAAAGGCAGGGTGGACACCCTCATTAAACCTGTGCCTGATGAGGAAGAGCAACTGGCCGCTCTCCGCGTTGATGAAGATAAGTCTCTGGTTGCTGTAGTCCAGCAGGATGCCCACTCTGGCTGGACGCTCAGTCACGTGAACATCACTCACGATACCACTGTAGAAAAATGTGTATCTGAAATGAAAGAGAATGGGAAACGTAAAACTCTGGAACTCTCACAGACCTTGATAAGGAAAGTCACTTGGGAATAACCAATTCTTCAGTTATTAACTCCACTTCACAATAAGGACTTGCAATCATGCTGTCCCAAATACTTTCTCTAGATTTCTTGTAGATGCTAAAATGCAGAGCTCATCCCAGCAGATGAGCATGTTTAATAATTTTGCTCCTTCTACATTAGGAGGCAGTCCCAGAATAGCCAACATGCCTCCCTTGTGATTTTTCTCCACATTCTAATTCTCTCCCAGCTGCCCACATGTTTTAACTACCGCATTCATGGCGTGTCATTCTTTTGAATAAAACTCCTTTGAGGCTGCCATGTATTTTTAAAAGTACCACAGGTTTGCCTTCCATACAATGTATTAATTTTACAGTTTTAAAAATTTATAGGTAACTTACATAACGGCCTTTATGAAGTTTAAGAAATACTTCATTATTTTTGCCAACTTCATCCTTTGTTTCCACTCCCCCTTCCCCAAACCAACTTTCCTTTTCATTTTCTCAAGGCTTTCTGCAGCCTTGCCGCCAGAGGAGTGGCCTTTGATTCCTCTCTCTAATTCAGACAAATTCAACTCAACAACGATTCCTTGCACATATCCGTGTATCCAGCACTTTACTAGGCGCTCTGGGGGATGTGAAGGGCATGAAGTACTGTCCTTGCCCTCTGGGATCCCATACTGTATGGGGCAGGAAGGAAAAACTGCCCACACTTGAAACTCGGACCATCGCTGGGAATACCTCTCAGGGCACAGATCGTCAAGTGTTTACTAGACACATTGAATGAACCTGTTTTGGTTGTGAAGGGAAAGGGTCAAGGCCAGGCTGGAAAGGAGAAAGTGCTGACCAGAAAATCTAAATTGCTCTATGTAAAAAGGTAACACAAGTTTGGGGTTTTCTCCTAGTAGTCTTTGAAACTGAGAATGGGGCCCTAAAAGTAGGGGAAAGAATGGAATGAGACATGGAAGAAGAAAGAAGAGAGATGAGGGAAAGGTCTATGGATGTGTAGGCTGTAGGGGTGGGAGCACAGCAATACCAGGGCAGTTTGGACCTAAGAATCTGGGTAAGTGACGAGTCTGGCAGGGAGGGCTGAGGATCTTCAAGACTTGCAACATCTGTCTTAAGGCCCAGAAGCTCAAGTGTAAGTATTCAGGGGATGGCAAGTTGGCAACTTCATTGCAGAAAGAAGCTCAAGTGGAAGGGCAGAGGTTCATGGTGGTGGGGAGATAAGTGAGACTTTTGAGTTGATAAAGGACGTTTCCAACGCTTTGCTAATGAGAGAGATGCCAGAACACTATGATGTTCTGGAACCTGCAGGACAGACTAAATGTTTCAGGTAGCAATGATGGGGAGTGGTAGTGCGAGCTGGGCTCTTACAGAAGGCTTTGGGAGCACATGGGCTCACACTCACTCAGATAGGACAGGCAGGACTTGAATAGGTGAAAAAGAAGGAGAAAAATCCACATAGTAAGGGCAGCAGCAGTGATGGTGAGGTGGCCAAAGAAGCCCGTATGTGGCAGAGAACATCACCATTGGCCTGTTGGGTTTGGACAGGAACGGGGGTGACTTTTCGGATGTTACGTGGATAAGTCAGTCAGGGGCCAGGCTCTAGATTTGCCCTGTCTAACACAGTAGCCACTAGACATGTATGGCCACTTCCATTAAAATTAAAGCTAAGCAAAATTTAAAATTCAGCTTTTCAGTCCTACCAGCCACACTTCAAGTGTTTAATAGCCACACGTGGCACCATTTTTTCTATTACTGCAGAAGCTTCTATTGCATAACACTGGTCTGGAGGGTTCTAAATGCTTAAATGAGTCATTTCTCCTCCCCTGCTTGGAAGGTCCCCGGTCCCTGCAGGCCCAGCGCTGGTCATTCCTTGAGCCAATGCCTACCCGGGAGGCCAAGTGGGGAAAAAGGTATTCCCTGAATCCTTGTCTCCACCAGTTCTGCAGGATGCAGAACCTGACCAGCCCTGCTTCTGTCTCTATTTCTGGCCGAGCACACCATTCTTCCACTAACCTCAACTCTGGCCTGAAGCCAAGCCTGCCTGCGTAGGGCCTCTCTGCCTGGCTGGCTTTGAACAGAGACCTGGTTGGTCTCTGTTCAAACAGGAATCATCCAGAAGCCTGGCTCTGAACACCTGCATGACCCGGGAACTGCCTCCCCTCCCCCTGGTGGACTGAGGCCCCTTACTCCCTTGAGTCCCACCTCTGGCCCACACTCAGTGCAGACCCCTTTGGACACTGGTGGTAACTCCCCTCAGGGCTCCTTGCCCCAGCCTGGCCACATTCTTTCTGGCTGCCCCTCTTCACTGTATCCTGCATGTGGTCCCACCCAAGTTCTGACACCACTGTAGATGTTTGTAGATTTTTGAGCAGAAAAAGCAGGGACAGGATGAAAAGGATGTTTTAGAAATATTTCCCAGTTGCAAGTGGGTAGAGACTAGAAGTGAGGGTGCAGGCTGGGTGGCTGCTGCTGAAACTGCAGAGGAGGTGCAGAAGCCTTGAGCTAGCATGGCAAGTTTAGGAATGGACAGGAAGGAAACCAGCAGATTCTTCTGAGACGATCTTCACGCCTCCTTCCCAATTGTGACATCTGAAAGCCTAGATTCTGTGAGTAGAATCAAGAGTAATATAGGTTGATTTAAAATCATTAAACCAGAAAAAGTAGAAGACAGGAGGGGCTGCCACAGGAGCGCTCTCAGAGTCCCAGAGGCCAGGGTGCCCCAGGTGAAGCCCTCGAAGGATGACATGAGGGCCCCAAGACCCTGCCTCTCTGTGCTGAGACCACACAAAGGGACACACTCTTTCTCCCAGAATCTATGGCGCCCACTCCAAGCCTGAAAGAGCCAAAGGCCAAAGCTGTAGGTTGAACTTGTCAACAAAATATACAATTCTGTTTTCTAGAGTCTAGGAATTTGTTATTGGGGGTTAGTCCTTGGTGTGGGTTTTTTAAAGATTTGAGGAAGGACATTTTCATGAAATTAATATGTAGTTTCAGCTCTGAATCTACTAACTGTAAACTGAATTTGAGTGATTTCAGCTCTGGGTAGGGGCTGGGTCCTTAAGCATTGCACAGCACTGAATATCAATTAATCATAATTGCTCTGACTTGATGAAATGTGACTTTAAGTAGTGCTTGGAGATGGTGTCCTTATGAACCATCTCAGAGAATCAAACTGTCAAGCAGGATGCAGGGAGAAATGTGCAGCCAGAGATATGCAAAATCCCAATCTGTGGGCCTTTTCTGGGAACTTGCAAGCATTGAAGGCTTCTTTTTAAAGCATTACATTTAAATAATGCCTCACATTTGTATGATACTTTACTGTTCCTAAGCTCTTCCCTATACCTGATTTCATGTGATCCTCACAACCCCAAAAGGTAGCAAGCCAGGCATTACTGTCCCCTGCTGAGCTAGATGATATAAGGTATGCTCAAAGGGTTAACCCACTTACGGCAAACAGTCAATAGGAGGCTAATTGAGGATGGAGCCAGAACTAAAATTGGAATCCTGGCTCCTAGTCCAGTGTTCTTTCTATTAAACCATACTGTGAGCATATTCAAATCAACATATGCCTGCCTGATTGCTCTGAGACTAACACAGGCTAATGGCTTTTTCACATCAACCAACCAAACAATACAGGTAATATAGAAGAGAGATTGGCAAACTTTTTCTATAAAGGGACAGATGTAAATAACCTAGGATTTGGCAGACATCTGTCAGCTCCACCATTGTAGTGTAATACAATACATAAACAAATGAGCATGACTGTGTTTCTGCAAATTTATTTACACAGACAGGCAGCAGGTTATATGTGGCTTAGGGGCTATAGTTTGCCAACCGCTGATATGGACCAATGTGGGGGGAGATGTTGGAGATCCACTTCTTCCTCACTCCTGTTGATTCCTTCTCTGTGGAGGGACTCCTTTTAGCATTACCCTTGTGGTCTCTCTCCACCCTGTGGTGAGTTTGAAGGAAAAACTGTGATGCAAAGCCCATCAGTCCCTCCCTCTTCCCTGTCTCTTACTCACTAGCTACCATGGAGACGCACATCCTTCTCTGCTTCTCCAGGCACCAACTCTGCCCTGCAGAGCAAGGAAGCTGACCTGGCCCGGGCTCTGGTTGGGTAAGTCTGCCTCCTAATAGGGTTTAATATAAGAAACCCTCTTCAGGTACGATTCACACACTCTAAAATCAGCTTCCTCAGTAATCAGAGTCAGAGTTTCATCTCCATATACTTGGCTCTTGTTTTCTTTCTTAGTTGGCTCAGAACTTGGGCATGGAAGTGGGTGCTATTTATCAGGTCCCTCAGAGAGCCCTGCCTGGACACCCAAGCATAACATTTTGATGAAGAGGGGAGGGGCAGGGTTCCAGCTTACCTCTGTGGCTCAGAGCAGTGCATGTACCATGAGGTCTCCCCTTGTCCCAGGGCACCTGCCCGCATGGCCGAGCTGGAGCAGATGCCGAGTCGATATGCTGGGCAGTCTGTGACTGTGGTTTCCCAGTAATGCTGGCCACAGGAAGGCAGCTCCTCACCCAGCACTGACGGGATTCTGCGGGCGAAGTCAATCGGAGTATGCTTAGCGCAGGAATCGCCAGCCTATATCTCATGAGTGTAAACATTCACAAATTCACACAGTTTAGGCAGGATACTGCCCTTGGAAACTGCTGGAATTTAACTAAAGATACTCTTTGTTCATTGTATCCCTAACCTTAACCAGATCACCACAGAACTCTCCAAACTCTCAACAGGCATTTGACATATTTCCAGTCACATACATACAACATGCATGATGTACGCTGCATCTCTTAAAAGAGCTGGGAATCAGGAAATAACTAGAATAATGGTAGGACAAAAAGAAATGCTGCAGTCTCTGCCTTTAAGGCGACTTCTCTTCATAAATACAAGGGAAGCAGGTAGGAAACATAATTTGCATAGTTTTCTTCCAAAACTTGCAAAAAAGAAATCTCCAAAACCTTAACCATGACTTCTATGCCTCCTGACCTTACTGGACACAGCCACCAAATGAGGTGCAGCTCTTAAATGACAAGGCAGCTAGTGCTGGCCAGAGCCAAGTGTGGAATTAACCGAGTATGATTAGTGGTCAACAGTCTGTAAGATTCTGGCCTCTTTGAACTGTAGTAGGTGCCCCTAAGAGGTTGGTTGAAGGTTTCTTTTTGTCTCACCTTAGCTATTTTTATAAGCACCTCAGTGAAATGAACCAAAAGCACTTTCAACTGCTGATGGGTGACCTTGTTTGCAAGAATTGCTCAATTTTGCTTGGAAATGGCTGAGACAGCAAGGAAGCATTTTTAATTTAAGCAGCGTTAATATTCAGTCAGCACCTCTCCCTCTCCCCTTTAACAGATGAGAAAATGATTAATGCAAGGGAATGTATTTCACTTTTCATGTCTTGACTCAACAACCTCATTTCAGAGAGGTGGCTACTGACAAGCCCTCACTCTGGAGCAAAGCCCAGCTGCCTGATATTTATGAGCTAATTTTCAGGTTAATAATAAATAAAATTCTATAAAACACATTACAGTTATCATCAGTTATTATCTGTGAACTCTTACCCTCCTCCAGTCTATTTATTTTCTTTTTGATTTTTTGAGGAATCCAAAAGACAGAAAAGCTCAATCTATTTCTTAAATCTCTTTTTTCCCTGAATTCACTCATTTGTATATTTTTAGCACCTGCAATGTTCCAGGCCCCATGCTAGATTTGAGGGATGCAAAGATGCACAGGA